CCCAAGTTTTCAATGGGGGTCTAGCTTAGATTGACTCGTGAATTCAACTTTGGAAATTAAAAAAATCTCCGAAAATTACTTATTCTAATAATAATACTCTTATATTGACATAGTCACTTGACTTATATATCATGGTTTAAGAATCATTTGACAGATCTATAGCATACACATTTTGTGCAAAACATCACACATTTGGGTACAATAGATGATGTTTGATCAAAACATTGTTATCTATAGAGATTTTGCAGATGATGACTATTCAGTCCAACATAATAATGTCCCCAGGTTACATAGATTATGCAAATCTTACCCTACTTCAATATTAGTTCGTTGGATGTTAAAGACTTGCCTGAAACGTTTCGGTTAGCTTAGAATAGACTAGTTATTCTGAAAGCTCCATAAACTATAGCAGAAAAAATATATAAAACTGATCTGAGACAGATTTATTTAAGAAAGAAGCCTGAAAGTAAAGTTTTAAATACAGATATCACAGGGTCCCACATCTCTCAGACTCAATTAACGTATGACACGCATAAAAAGCTACGACGGACATGATATTAAGCGGTTAAAAACATTCGATAGAAATCAATGATATCTAAATATAGCGCACGAGACACTAAATCACCTATACTAGAAGTTACATTGCAACTTGATCGACAGATCTAGGCAAAATAGATATTAGATATTATTCAGTGGTCAACCAGTCTAACGAAGAGAAAGAATAACGAATGATTGAAAATACTAATAATAGTAATAAGTTGTGAAAAAAAGACAAATAAAATGAGAATAAAAGTTATAGAATTGAATTAGGATCCTAAAGATTTCATAGAACACAAAAAATGTAGATGAATATCCAACTGTGAGATCAATTCTTGACCCATGACATTTAATGTTTATATTGATGAGATGGTCCAGACTATTTAACGTTTATCAGAATTCTGAAAAATTACTAAATACACCAGAAGGGGTTTTGTGGAGATTGTAGTAATTTAAACAGTTGAAATCATGAGTCAATTGAAGCTAGACCACTATGGAAAACCAGGAAGCATTAAATGGCCGTTTCTTCCCACTGTGAGACTCCTCAGCAGTGCGCATCCGCGACCCGCCTCGCGAGATTCGAACCCGGGACCTATCTCAAACTGTTGATATTACTACAATCTCCACAAAACCCCTTCTGATACTAATCAACATATGCTCACTAGTGACTGGTTTCAAGAGATATATCCTGGAGTTCTAGTGAGAAGCAGTGACTAGTGGAGTTCAACCGGGTCAGTTGTGAGGTAGTAACTCATTGATGACAATGGTGGATGTGTCGCTCAATTTCGTGGATTAGTTGAAGTTAGATATTAACACCGTTGGATCCCGGCCCAGTGGTCTAGTTGGTTAAGCGCCTGGCGCCAGACCGATAGGTCCTGGGTTCGAATCTCGCGGGGTGTGGGATCGTGGATGCACACCGCTGAAGAGTCTCACAGTAGGGTGAAACGGCCGTCCAGTGCTTCCAGGTTTTCCATGGTGGTCTAGCTTCAATTGACTCATGATTTCAACTGTTTAAATTACTACAATCTCCACAAAACCCCTTCTGATAACAAAAGCGTTGCAGTTAAATCAATCAGCTCAGAGAACTCGATATGCTTAAAAATAAATCAATCTATAATTTCTAGAATCAAAACTAAAATAAGGATGTTAAGTTAATGTTATAAACGAGGAAAAATAATTAATTGTAAATTAATAAATGACAACCTTTAAAACACTTTATCCAATGTATTCAAAGCATAAGCTGTTTGATAGAAAAAAAATCAATTATGTTCTTAGAAAGTTCAAGAGATCACTCTCCCCCTATTTACTTAACTACAAACATACTATACTATTATGACTTAACTAATCATAAGCAATTGTATCAGTAAACAAAAAAGAACCCTTCATAGTTTTGTTAACTGTAGTTAATACTATTGTTTTGAGCATGATTTAACTCAATCACAACAGTTGTCAATGTAATAAATATTTGTTTACTAATTCAATAATATATATTACTCTACATAGTTTCTCAACTGAAACATTATCACAATGTAACCAAGACTATAACTTATAACCTACAGAAATATGCCTCACAAAGTCATAAAAATCATCAGAGTACCAATGACACGCCCAAATTTTAAGTAATCAAAGATTTATTAAATGAACCGTATGAGATAAAACATTAAAATAACAAATTTATTCTAAAGAATAAATGAGTGGCCTTTCTACACCAAAAATAGGATGAGAAAATAAATGGAAAGGTTAACAGAGAATACGAAGATTAATCCTTTCTACTTAATTTGAAGTTTTGAAAGTCAATCAAACACATTTGCTTGACACAAAATCAAATGGAAGTAAAAATTGCGTTAACTACAATTACTGATCCCGATCGACCTCACGGATACAGGACAATTTTCAGTAACCTTTAGAAACCAAATACGGGGTAATGGTTGAGAAAATTCTTAACTTTAGTAATTATGTTATAGAAATACCAACCTGTCAGTTAAGTAAGAAGCTTAATCTATCGTCCGAGAAGAAAAAATATCAAATGACCAACTAAGATTTTACAATTCGGGTGGAGTCAAAGTCAAGGCAGAGACTAGAAGTTGATTGTTCGAATCATAACTCATCAATCACTATCTTTTGATTAGGTAGGACTAAAAGGGCTGGACTTATCATTATTAGGGAGTTCAGCTGTGGCAAGAGTTAAGCATAATTCTACAATCAGTGATTTCATGAGTCAGTATTTTCTTCTCAATTATTATCCATGGAAGCTAAAACTTTTGAACTGGAAGCTCAAAGCTCCTGAATACTTATTTAAAATTAACATTAAAATAATGATATTTGTGAGTCATTTGATTTTTTGTATAACTATACAGTCAATCTATATTTATACTTGTGATCACACAAACAGACTAGTAATAGATAATACGATTCGAGGCAAATACGAAAAACACAAAATCGAGCTCAATATGAAGAAATATTGGTTATTGGGCAACACTTGTGTAAATGATGGTAATACTAATCATATGCTTAAGCCAAGTTATGTATGAAGGTGTTCGAAATTCTTACACAGCAATTTAAAGTCAAGTGCTCAAGTTACTAAGCAATATACCCATACGAAGTATACAAATATTAGATGATAATTAAAGATAAGCTACTTTTCTCTCTTTGCTTTAATCGTTTATTTACAATGTCTCACATTTGATGACAAAAAGAAAATTCATTTCAATCATTAACTCAGTCAGAAGTCAATGAATGTCATCAAGGTATCTTACAAGTGATCTAAACCTCTTATAAGCCTGCAAGCGTTATGACTGAACAAAAACTGATATGACTCGATGTAAGGAAAAATGGAAAACCTTATGAGCTGGCCATAAACTATATATCAATTACATTGATTTTCGTTTCATTTACGCTGACTGACAGATAAATTTTGAATAAATTAAACTGTGTAGCACCAGACATTAATTTTTTTAATGACTTACTGTATGAACATGATTTACGATACCGTAATATTAAACTTCTACAGCCAACACATATAACTGAATCGTTCAGTTGTGTTATTACTTTTTTTCTTAAAAGACAAGGCACTAGGTGTCGTTACGAGAACCTTGAATAGGAATACTGGGAATCATACAAAAGAAACGCTCAATGGAGTGAGATGATACTAAACAGCTTACATTTATCTGTAGACCCTGCTGATCGTTGAATGGTTTGTCCCATTGCCATCATAGTAACACTGACCACATACGCGTGCGCTCAAATTAGTTGGGACTTAATTCAACATTTATTTTAGTCGAAAATAATTCACCTACATACGTTATGTAAATCCTTTTACCTGTATAAACGAGTATGTATGCTTGAATGCATATGGCAATTCACGCATTAATTACCTTCATTCACTTAGATGTTAATTTGTTTAGAAGCTTGATAACATACATATTTGTTCGTTAAACAATCCTCGCATTGCTGCGTGTTGGTCACATAATTTGTTGAATTAATGTGTTCTACACTGTAGTATCATGTCAAGTTCACATGGATTGTTCTACCTCCCGGACAGACTGATTTATTCTTAACGAGTTACATTTTGACCTTGTCGATTATCCGCTCACTAGCCTTGATCGTTTTCATTTGAGTGTGTGTTGCTTACCCTACTCATCACATGTCTGTAGCTTATTATTGTCTGACTATAAATAATGAGTCTCGCTTTATCAAGACCAGTTAGGTCACTCGCCTCCGGTTCGCCTTCCCACTTCTTATTCTGAACTTCTGTCTGGATAAACAAGTGCTTGAAATAAGTTCATCCAACGCTAACCCGTATTTGGCATCTTATTTCCGCTGTCACACAGAGGGGGTTAGCCTAGGTAATATACGGAATTTGATGGGAGATTTGTATTCATAGCATAAGCATACGCTCATACAAATAGGAGTCAGATCAACGGGTCACAAAAACATAATTCGCTTTGGCTTCTGAAAGATATACACTTTTTGAGAATTATGGGAATAACAACTGTCTGGTCAATTAACATAGGAAGTACAAGAGTAATCACGAAAATATCCACAAGACCCTTGTATTTCAAATTTTGCATCCCTCTTTGAACCTCTTTCTATTTACTAGTTTTCTCCCACTGTACAGCTTTATTTTACAATAACTTGAGCTGACTGTATTTTCCATGCTCGTTATTGGTTCCTTGTGATCACGTTTCCAGCTGTAAGCATTTTAATAACTATAGTTAGTAAATATATACTTTTATTTACATTACACAGTAAAGCCATAATATATATGTACATAAAGTATGCTAAAAATGAAGATGAATTCAAGTCTAGCATTCCATTAAAACGTTTTGTTGTACAATAAAGTGGCAAAAATCAATGATAATGTATTCATTTTTAAGCGTCAAGGATAACCATCATCACTGATTAAGAATAATACATAAAAAATCAAGGTGGGGAGAATTTCCGAGGGGAAACTAACTGTACACTTAAGAATCATCAATATCCTCTTCGTCCGAAAAATATGAATTCGGACGAATACATAGTTTCTTCGATGTTGATTGAGATGACGACTGTCTACTGTAGAGTTCTGCTTGATGTTGTACAGCTGCACTCCAGCTATCCAACGGATCATCTATTTCATTATCCTCATCATTCTCATTGTCGCTGTTGTCGTGATTCATTTGTGTTTTCCTATTACGCGGATCTGATGTAGACAAATGAGAACTATGATGAAAAGATGGTTAAAAGAAAAGCAAACACAAACTACAATGAAATTGTTACAAGATGAGTACTTATTATTTTATTTATTTTAACACATAAACATTGGTAGAACGAGGTACTGAATAGATATGCGCTACATAAATCATTCGGTTTGTATGAGGGCTAGGATACTGCCCAAACCGAAGCGGGTATTTTTCTTAGGGGGTCACACCCCGAGCCCTTGACCTAAAGGTCTAATCCACGAAGCAGTGGGACAACGTAAGGAGATGTAGTCCCATGGTAGCCGGTGACCAACAACTGGTTCATACACCATTTTTTCCCTCAGGATACTGGTTTGGAATCAGGGTTTTCCAACTCCGCTCCGTGCCTACCAATCCGGTTAAAGTGCCAGACATTAGCTTTTCATCCTTTCAATTTCGGAAACAACACTCCAGACGCAAGAAGTCAGTGAGTAGGACTTTCCTGTATACGCGTGGCCATGTGAGAGCATTTGGGGAGGGAGAGAGGGCCCTCCTCATCCTCAGTCGTACCAGGGTGTTTGGGGGCACAAGATAAGTAGTGAGGATGTTGGAACTTTGGGGACTATTTCATGAATTATTATTATTATGTAATTATTAGATAGCTGAACTATTGCTTTTCTGTATTAAATGCATTGTAAGCTTCGGTTGGACTTATTAACTGCTGTTATAAGACTTATTATTACTTAATTATGTACTGTTTGCCCCATCTTTTGCCACTTATAGCATGATTTCATATTTGGGGTGCATTGTGGTCTGACAATTTACATGTATAAACTAATGAGTGTTATAGAGAGATATACTGGGTAGCTTGACTGTTATCTTCTCTTATTGAAACTCAATGCTGAGAATAGAAGGGGTTACGTCGCAAACCAACAGGATTTAGGATTATTCTCGGTTCAACTCAGAGTTAACTTTATAAGTCAAGACGTGTAGCTGATCGAAGCTTAAGACACCCGGTGATAGCCAAAATAGTATACACAAAGTAGAAAAAATATAACCAGGATGCTTATTAGAGAGTCGCTTCTCAAGTCATAGAACAATGTGTCATTCATAACAAAAATGACACGTACTATTCAGATATATCATTGACAGCAAACACAAGACTAGATTTATTATGTTCCAAAGAAAGATTAATAATATTATTGGAAGGTATTATTATTATTATGAAAACCTAACAGACTAATCTCTATGAGTGAATCCAAGTTATTTAGTTATAAATGCTTATTATACCGATGTATGTTAGACCATCACAATTGAAAACCTGGAAGCACTGGACGGCCGTTTCGTCCTATTGTGGGACTCCTCAGCAGTGCGCATCCACGATCCCGCGAGCGGGATTCGAACCCAGGGCCTTCGGTCTCGCGCGCGAACGGCCGTCCAGTGCTTCCAGGTTTTCAATTGTGATGGTCTAACATTAATCGGTTCATGATCTCAATCAAAAACTTAATAATCTCCACAACCCCTATACTAGTATACCGATGTACTTGTTAAATATCAACAAACTAACAGAAGATAACACAAATCACATTTTATTCTCTTGTTAAGTCTGGTTTTTCACATAAACTGAATGCCAATCTAATAAAGACATCTTTATACATACAGTTTCATGCCTTTACTAATGATTCCATCAAGTTGAAACATTTTCTGAATGAGTAGCATTTAATGTTAATTATTGATTTTATCTCTGTTCTGATAAGAGTTTACTACAAAAGGTTCAGATAAGTTGTGAGTAGGGAAACCAAATCAAACTGAACATAATGTTCGATACCATTGAACGTAAAATGTCTCCCAGAAGTTTTCTCATTTCACACTATACTATTGAAACAAAATGTAAGTAGTGAATATATCGTATTCAAAAAGCACCTAACATGTAGTAACGGCTTAAATTACAATAAATAAGGGTACGATTTCATTATATTGATGGAGTTTTGTTCTCTGAGCTTGATGGTTTGCTCGTGGAGTTTTCATCGTTCTTCGGAACGGCAATATCAGCACAAAATTCAGATAGAAGTGAAGAGTTCGAATTTCTCCATATGCGTTCCACAGCTTGTTCTGTATACATCGACGTCGATTGGTTCTTATTGAAACTAAATTTATCATTAATTCACTTGATATTGCTTCACTTGAATCTTCCCATTGATGTTTTAGGACTGAAATTGATCAGTTTCTTATTGGTATATGTGCATACTGTGCGTATGCCTCGATATTGCCTTAATTTACAAGCATTGTAAGCAAAGATGGATAGTGGCTAGCAGTGGAATCCAGGACGCGCGTTTCGTCCTGTTTGGGACTCGTCAGCTGGATGTACCTGCATCTCAGGGTTGATGTTCACTCTGGGACTCGAACTCAGTACCGTTCGCTTCAAACGCCATCGCGTTATCCACTTAGCTACTGAGTCCTGATAGCCAAACAGGACTGCGTTACTTACTCGATGGTTCAGTGACAAACACTGCCATAGAACCTCACGATCAACAGAGTCGAATGATGCCTTAAGGTCGAGAAATACTACGATTGTGGGGCGTCTCAATGTGTGTTTATGTTTTAGGACCTGACGTAGTGTGAATATCTGGTCTATATAGCCACGCCCAGGTCGAAAACCAGCCTGATTTTCTCTAGTCTGCTCTTCACGAGCTTTGGTTAGGCGTCGAATTATTATTGAAGCTAATATTTTTGACACTATATTTGTCAAACTGATTCCTCTGTGATTATCACAAGAGAACTTTTGTCCTTTCTTATAGACTGGCACAATCAGTGATTGAGACCAGTCAGATGGGATTACGTCCATTTCCCGAATTCTACCTCAGTTAATTTCACTGGTAATACTGGACCACCATCCTTAAAAATCTCAGGAATAAACCTGTCAGGACCTGGTGCTCTCCCTCGCTTCAGATTTCCTATAGCTTTTTCAGCTTCGTAAAGAGTTGGAGGAGTTACATTAACTTGTTATTCAGGTTGACTGGAGATCGTGGAAAATCGGATTGTGGCTGAAGGCCAGTTGAACTGATCCCTATAGTGTTCTACCCATCGACCCAATCTCCTGAATTGAGAGAGAATAATATGACCATCTTTTTCTGAGATAGTTTCGATAAAAGTTGGATTCTTACTAGCGGTTTCCTTGGCAAGTCTGAACAGTTATCTGCTGTTAACTATTGCCGCTACGTTTTTCATCTCTCTTGCTTTCGCTACCCACTACTGTTTACGATCATTGCGTAGGCTTCTTATCAGCCTGCGCTTAAGCTGACTACGCTCTTCGTCATCTTCAGAGCCCCTCCATCGGTGGCTGATAGCGATTTGACCTATTTAGGTCCAACGTTGGGATGAAATCGGAGGTCGCCATATCAAAGGATGTTTTTCCTTGTGCTTAAAGTTAGTATTTGCTAGAAACAGGCAGTTATTTGAGCACAGCTGCAACAGACGGTCGCCATTATCTGTTCTTTGAGACACGACGCTGTAAGATCCACCCAGATGTCTTTCCCTTCCGTTTAGTTTACCTACTTGAGTATTAAAGTCACCAGCCACTATTACTACATCAGAGCGCCTAACTTTTTTGAGGAGGTCAGGAAGCTTTCTGTAAAGCTCATCTTTTACCTCATCTGAGCTGCAGTCAGTGGGAGAGTAGACAGAGATGATGATGCCCACACCGTGGGAGGGTGTTTCTTGAGGAACCTGAAAAGGAAGTTGGATTAGTGTTGGTCTTAACAACCTGGGAGCGTGACTGCAGAGCCCAAGGGACAACTGGAAGGAACAGAAACATGACGTCAGTTTATGAAATTATTAATAAATGGGGATCACCTGGTTGAGGTCCTCGCAATAACTGCGGTCAGTGATTAGTGAAAATGAGTAACGACTCAGAATCGGTAGCAATGATGTAGATGTATTCACTTCTTGTTTTCACTTACATCTTGAGTTCTTAAATTATTTTGTACTTCTTACCCCAACAAATGATTTCTTTCTTCACAAATCATAATCTATGTGCCTAAATCTTTTCAGACAACACTAATATTGCTACTACTTACTTTGATGTTCATCTTATTAATTCTTTCACGTTGTATTATAAGCATCTATCGCAGGATCCAGGTTGTTTATGACTGACTAAAAACTTGTAATTAGATAGAATTTGATCACACCTAAATGATTAATGATATTCTACTTAAGATACAGAGCTTACATGAATAATTTTCAAATAAACATTGAATATATTCACTTAACATGGAACAAAAAATCGCAATATTTATACTTACAAATTATCAACAATCTGTCTTTATAGGGAACTTACTTGAGTTTCTTTCGAACTTTACGTTTCTTTACCGGTTGTTCACGTTCACCCAATGAGTTTTTTTCACATTTATAACTAAGGTGTCCGAAAGACTACAAATTAGACAGGGATTAAACTGTTTATGCATTATAGTACTAATTCATGTAATTCAAAATTATAGTCATAAATCCTAAAAGTGACACAAGATACCAATTGGCTTCATATTAAATGAAGTATTGGCAATTACACCTGGAGAATAAAAGGTGAGGATAACCATTAGAACATAGTCCCATTGATGAGTTTCATTTTTATAGGTCGTATTTGTCACAGGTTAGCATAAGCTGTGGTATCATTAAAAGCCAGGGAGCATACGACAGTTGTTTTGGCGAAGTATGGAACTACTTAACAGTGCGTACCAACGATCACATCAAAAACTGAACTCAGGAACTATGGATCTTTAGATCACTGGATTCGAATCTAATGGTCTATATTCTCAGCACCAGCAGATTCGTAGTATAGAGCAACGATCACCCAAAGGCATTGGTAACAACTGTCGAATTGCTGAAATTGTATAAATTCACAAGTCACGACTTAATACTGACACTCCCAATACGCATTAAATGAAGCTTCATTTGATTTGCAAAAAATGTAGCAATATTAATCCATATCTGTCTTCAAAGCATTCCCCTCTGGTTAGTGGAACTGCGAAAGGTGATATTTTTCTCGTTTCTGGCCATTTATTGATCGCAAATGAGAAAAATGTGCAACGGGTAACCACATGGAAGAACTTTGCAAACACAACAAGCCTTCTAGATGTTGGTTGGAGGTAGTCAACAGGAAACCCTGGACCCGGGTTTCGTGCTACTTGGCACTCGTCAGCAAGGTGTACCTGTAATCTTGAGGGAATTGGTGCTCCCTGGAGGATTCGATCTCGTGCCACCCAGCTTCACAGTCAGAGACGTTACCACTGAGCTATCCGAGCCGCGATTAACCTCCTGTAGGACTGTTGACTACCTCCAACCACCATCTAAATCTCAATACATAGTGCCCGCAGTGTCGAGTCACCTAGACTGGTGGCCACATTGCAACATGATCGATAGCATACGATCTGCACTAATAAGGACTAGACACGAATGACATTGATCACCACCCAGTGATCAATCAATTGTGACAACAAACCTTCATCATATTTTAATTATCAACTTTTACTGAGAATGAGTAGTTTTTAGGGTCGATCAAAATCTAATTTCAAATCCTTATGCAAATATGTATCTATTAATGTTAATGAACAAAATATCACACTGCGGTTGGAAACTACATTTAATGTTACGTTAGTTTCTCGTTCGGCCAAGTAACTGGAATAAACTGTGTAAAGAATACATCGAGTATCCTAATCCAAGTTGTCAGGATTATATAGTATATCAAATTTAATGATCTAATGATCAAATTCAGATGCTATGTCACTAAATAATTTTTCAATTTGTTAGATCTTAACTAGTTCGCAGATTTGAAAATGTTTGATCAATTATTGAATTTTATTGGTGACCACCTTTCTTTCTCAGTTGATGACAACTATATGGTAGCAAAAAACACCCAAAACTAGTGCTCACCAACATTCATCATACCTCAGACATGGAATTCGGAAGAATTAGTGAACTACAAGATAATGCCTGTCACTTGATTCATCACACTAATCGAGAATGGCATATTTTTCAGGTGATGAACCCTCACTCCAACGCCATCGGCTGAGTCTGAGAGGTCAGATTTACTTTAAGGATGGACAGATGATATACCGAGGGGAATTAGGAAACCGTTACCGGGTAAGTGCACGTGGTTAGCCAAGACACAGCTTGGATTTCTAGGGAATGAGACAAACACTATCAGCAGCTTAGTTTCCTAAGGGATATATATATATATATATATATATATATATATATATATATATATATATATATATATATATATAATTTCGCATTAAGTAGTCAGATTCAACAAACTTACGCCGCATTCATAGCATCGAGATTTATTAGGATATTCTCGTCTACGAATAAATTCAGCAGCTCGACCATTATCTCGGGCGATCGATGCTTTCAGTGTACGACCAAACATCTAATCGAAGAGAAACATTAATAATAAAGTCAAGGTGGACTGATGCTATAAAGCTTTAAATATTATATAACAGACGACGGTGAATATGAATCCACAAATGTGCTCAATAATTATCATTGCCATAATCAGAGTATAACTGTAAAACATTAACTTTTGTTAACCTTGAATAAAATTCGACAACAACTGTAAGTTACTTTCGATAGAATTTCGATTGCTTTCGCTTTATTTTTCGATTGAAATTAAAATATATTAGTGGTTATTTGTTGTTCATTAAGAAAAGTGATAATAAACAGGACAGACCTCAAGACTGAGTATAGAAATTATCTTAGTAGTGTAGAAGTGATTAAGTTTTGATGTTTTCTTTTAAATTTAATTAAATAATCTTTATGAAAGCGTTGGCTTAATTAAATCACCTGTTCCTCATTACTTACAGCATCACTGAAACTCACATAAACACAAATACATCAAATTGTACTTGATAAAGTCATATATAATGATTTAATGAAATTTGCTAACCAAGATTATTTCTCTAGATAGTCCAACTAATAGTTACCGTTGCTTAAACAACAAAGAGAAAGAATGAAATGAAATACGAAAAACTACTTCACTTTCATATTGAACAATATAAGTGAGTAAATTTGCATGAATATATTTACCTGCATATTATTCAATTTATTTGCACAATTAAAAGCATCATTTTTATCTAAGAATAAGACGAATGCAACACCTTTGCTTTTCCGACTTTCTTTATCTTTTACCACAGTTACTCTAGATTAAACCAAAAAAGGGGCAAAAAGTAAGCAAAAGAAGGTTCATATACATATCAATCAATAATCAACACACAGGACAAAAGAATAACCATGAACGGTTAAAGTTCCAACCTGTTAAGAAAATGAGTTCACGTCTTATAGCATAGTATAAATTAGAATGTGTAACATGCTGTTAATATTTCACTTTTCTTCACTTGCATAAATAATTTTAATGCATGAAATTGAATATTAAGCTTTCAGTCAAGTTAATAGTATAATTTAAAACAAATGGTCAATTTGATAAAATTCGATAATTCAATGAAAAGACGAATACTATCAGAATTATGTGATATATTTGCGCAATACATTTCGAACAATTTGGTCACACATATGCTCGTTAAGACATTTTTATGTGAAAAATAAAAGGTCGACTAGACAAATTAAAAGGTAAGCGGAAACAAAAAATAATAAAGTACACAAAAGCAATATGAAAACCACACTGGATAATAAGTCAGTATTACCAGGGTAGGTTAAGGGTAAGAACAAATTGTTTTTTAATACACAAAGGGGTTTCAGTTTCTGTATAGCCGATGCTTCAATGAACTTTAGTATACAATACTACAAAGGTTGACTTGATATCACAACATTATGACCGGTTTCAATCAACGGTTCTCAAGGCTATCCATAGCTATGCCATCAATCTATCGAAAGTACTCACCCTCAAAAGTGAATTTCATATTGTCAGTACATAATAGTAATAAATCTTTAAGATTTTTAACAGAAAATGACAACGGAAGGTTATTTAATGATATAGTCACCTTTGCAAATAAAGTGTTTACATCAAAGGAGCACATTGTCTTAGTTTTTATATTAATATCCATTAAGTACTTGATCCAAATGAGTCATTCAAAGAATACTTACAAAATTGGTTTCGGGTAGCGTTTAGCACTTTTGCCATTTTGCAAAATTGTGTGTAGATGATCGACACACTGAACGTAAGGGATTATTGGTCTTACGAATTTTTGGTAATTCATATAAATAAGGATACGCTGAACCCATAGGTTTGAGTAAATTAAACTCCTCTTCGTTAATAGCATTCATGTTTAACAATTTCATTAGGTTTGAGCTAACTTTCCCTTCTAATTTACGTAATCCATCAGAGTCAACATCAGCCATAAATTTGCTTTAATCATTGAGGATAGATGACATTTTATTTTTGGAATCGTACTTATTCATAATAACAAAACCTGATCCTCTATCAGGTTTAATTAAAATAATATCAGCATTATTTCGCGATTCTTTTAATGACTTGAAGTGCTGAGAAGTCAATATGCTTCTCTCCTTTGGTTCAGGATAATGAAACTGGTGCGCTATATCCACTAGTTTAGCTTTAAACCAACTTTGATTCTCTAAGGATGAAGGGAATGAGGTACTTGATTGATCATAGAGGCCTTCAATGCCTAATTCAGGTGAGGCCTATGATGCTTCTGGCACCCAAAATCTAGTCTACATTACGTTACCATTTAGAGGTGACTCAAATAGTCATATGTTGAGACGGAGACTTAAATCAACTATCAACAGGATACTTCATGCAGCCCAACTATTCATTATTTAAAAGGCAAGATCTATGTATCACCAAAAACCTAAACAGCACGTAAGCGATTGTGTTACATGTATGTGCGTAAACACGTACATGGAGAGAAGCAATTGTGAGCTGCAAGTAAGGGTAGCTGGACACATACCTAAATGGCTGCAAAAATAAATGAATTCCGATTATTAAATAAGACTGCAGGATAGACAAGCATCCACCTTCATTGAGAAACATTTGGGTGAGACCGGTTATAAGGTTGATATCAAGTCAACCTTTGTAGTATTGTATACTAAAGTTCATTGAAGCATCGGCTATACAGAAACTGAAACCCCTTTGTGTATTAAAAAACAATTTGTTCTTACCCTTAACCTACCCTGGTAATACTGACTTATTATCCAGTGTGGTTTTCATATTGCTTTTGTGTACTTTATTATTTTTTGTTTCCGCTTACCTTTTAATTTGTCTAGTCGACCTTTTATTTTTCATATAAAAATGTCTTAACGAGCATATGTGTGACCACTTACTTACTTACTTACTCCAGACGGAGTTATGTGTGACCAAATTGTTCGAAATGTATTGCGCAAACATATCACATAATTCTGATAGCATTCGTCTTTTGATTACATTATCGAGAGATAATAGTGTAGTAGTGGATGATAGACAATCTTGAAACGTGATAATTTTGCGACTTAGTTCGGATTGTTATACTTTAACGAGGAACGGCTATGATTGAATTTTACGATCAGAAAGACACAAAAACAGCAGCCATAATTAAAAGCAGATTAGAAAATAGGTTTATTAGGCAGGTGGTCTCGACCCTTAAGTATTTTGTTTATTACCACGAACACCGATTAAAGCTTCCTCCAGGACTTCCGTTAACACACTAACTGTTGAAAAATTCAATACTTAGTGTCATGATTTATTACGCTGAAATCTCATCTTCGTGATTGAGAACAAAGTGCCTAAATTGCAGAAATGCATAACTAAATTTATTGCTTTAGTAAGTAACAGTAACTACCAGTTTAGTACTTTAATAAACAGTAAATCAAAACTCACCTGACCACTTTACCATATGGCTGTAATATTTGATGAATATCATTGTTGGTTAGGCTGAATGGCAGATTACTTATGTACACAGTACTTTTACTTGGGGCCAATCCCTTACTCATAATTCATTAAGCCCAATCATATAAATAGTGATAGCTGTTAAAAATGGATAAGGGAAGATTTTAGGAGGGGAGGACCAAATATGAGTAGCAATGTATTCCGATGTCCACTCATATAAAACTTACTAAATATTTTAGGGCAGAATGAAGATCATACAGTTCAGACTGAAAAATTCCGAGGTTTGTTTGTGAAATCAAAACATTCAACCCAATACTGTAATAAGCTTGACACCATCACAAAGGATAACTATCATTTTTCTCTAGTCACTAAACCCTATATTTACTTTAGGCATAAATATAACCAACTCATTTAAGTAGCTAACTTAAATGAGTAGTTTCTAGTCATTTTTAGTCAGCAACCAAATTGTTTTATTTGCGCTAATTATGAGATCATGTCTAAACATTTGACAGTGCGTTGATAGTGAGGTGACCATTCCTATGTTTGACTTGAAACTAGTTAGTTATTCAGTCAGCTAAAACGTGGGACCAGGTACATATATACATCAGTCCAGGTTGCTACACCTCATTAGCACAACAAGATGAACACCAAATTCATAGTAGTTACTTCAATGATAGTAATATGTAACAAAGGGTGCATATAAAGATATAACACAGGAAGAAAGAATTAGTTCGTAGAGAAAAAAAGGTATAAAGTAATTTTAATCTAAGGTTTAAGGGTAGACAAACAGTGTATACACCTACGCCATTGTGACCGATTACGATCCATGTCACCCAGTCTCCAACCATTGGTTACGATATTCACGTGGACCCCAACCGGGTAGTCTACATCTACCAATATGGCTCAGACTAGAAGTTAGTGAATTCAAAGACTGATCCCATGTTTTGGTTTGGCCGCCCCTAACTTTCTTCCAACCGTCTCCAACGCTAGTCAGCATTGCGCGTCGTGGTAATCTGTGTTCAAGTTTATGTAACACGTGGCCCAAGTCACTAATGTAGTTTGCAACTAGTGGCTTGAAGACTATCAGATTCGCCTCATCCTGTTGACCGTATTCCAAATTTAGTCGTAAGATATTTCACAAAAGTGATGAAATGTAATATGAAAATCACCACCATTCCAATTACATATTTTTTGATTTGAGTACAGAAATGAGTTCAAATAGATATTTAATGAAAATGAGATATTTTCTTTATTAAACCATGCGATTCGTTTGTATTAGAAACAGTAGAATATATAACAGGGCTCATCTACTTCGTTTATTCATTACTTCTTTATTTCATTCAAACCACTATGGAAAATTCAGTTCGAAGGAATATGAACCTACAAAAACACTGATGTGTGGGGAAGTGCTAAAGGTTACGATTTACGGTTAATCTATAAATACTTAATCGGACTGGAAATAAAATGGCCAGTATTAAACGCTAAAAAGACGTTTACGTGGCTAGTGTCGCTGATAGTTTATCCAAAGATCCAGTTCTTGAACTAAAAGTGTGAACGCCTGATAGCTTGAATGAAAACCATTTAAGTGCATCCTGAAACTGTGAAGCCGCTACGAAAACATCAAATGTAGCATGTGTATTTAATTACGATTACTATAAAGCCCAATCTGAGTAGCAGACAACTGTTCTTTTCAATCAATTTTATATAGCACCTTTCATATATGCAATAAAGACAGGATAGTGCGAAGTATTTTCTTAGTGAAGTCAGGTATGCAAGAGTAAATATAAATGAACTTTTATTCGTTCTCATATAAATATATAGTTAATCCAGATCAGCAACCACATAAAATTTCGTTATCGGTTTTGAGGGACGGTGATAATTCGGTTTTTAAACTGAAGTAGATATAGTGGAGTTGGAATCCTACACTTATTGGTTTGTTTTAAGAATTATTTTATCAATATACTCCTTTCGTTTAATCTAACTTAACTCACATGTGATTTGCGGGTTAATGCACTTTACCCAGAGTCAAAACGCCAAGATGATGTCTACCGATACTAAAAGGTTATTCAGACAGAAGTAGGTGGGGCGGGATACGAACCTAAAACATAACGGTTAAAAGGAGTATTTTGACCATTGCGCTATCACTTCCCTTCCTATTTATACAATAGTTAACAATACTGGGCGAATTCAAAGTGGATATGGTATGTTTGGAGCTGAAATAATTATTGTGAGGTATCTAAAATAATAAGCATTAAATGTATGAGTGGCTAATTTATTTGAACTTTAGATTTCAATTTTATTAGCTACCTTTATGTTCAGAGAGTTGTATTATATACAGTGTGTCAATTATCCTGTATTGGATGAAGTCTACAAATTAGTTACCAACCAAAGTATTCTGTTTAGCAACAATTTCCTTACACTGACTTTATAAAAAAAACCTCACACCCCAGAATTTCACACACTTTGGAGATTTAGAAACCAACTATTCGTATAACTGCATACAAATAAAGCTCATTTTCGCTTATAATACTGCACCGAATGGAGTTTACAGTAAAAATCATCTCTTAAATAGGTTATTTTGCTAACAAACACACTTCGTCAAAAGCGCAAAATTAAAAAACTCAATTGTATTAGAGCAAATATCGGATTATTTTGTATACGAAAATGTACAAGACGGAATCACTATTTACGACGTTTATGTTTGGAGGTTTGTTTCTTTGAACGGCGGAAACGCTTTTTACTCCTCATGGGATTCATTTTGAGTGCTTTTTTAAGCGACATATGTGGCCTAAATAAAAATAGTCATTAAAAATAACAACATACTCTTCACTAGAAATGATCGGATCAGAATTTCGTTCCTGAATAAGTTAGGAGTGAAACTGCTTTATTTCAATGTACCTTGCAAGCACCCATGAAATAATGGGAGTTACACAAATCTAATTCTTGAATAACAACACTTTGGTCTCCGATATCCTGTTTGTCGTTGGAAAGGATGTTTTCAACACAATCTAGAGGCCCAGGCAACCGAATATTTTCAAGCTTTTGACGAGCAGCCTCTCTATACTAATAAAGTAACAACACATGAATCACGACAAACTTTGTCCTTAACAGCCTTAATCTCATTTTTTAATTGTTTTTCTGCTGCTTTACGTCCCTTTTCTTTACGTTCAAGCTTTCTTTTTCGAAATCCAGTAAGATATTCTCTAATAACTCGAAAGTGGGAAAATAAAGACCGTACTTTCTCTTTTCCTCATCAAAAATAAGACTAAGCTTCGGTCTTTTCTTCATAATACTAACCAGGCGCTAATGCAATGTGAACACCTAATTAACGATAAGTAAAGTATGACACCATCAAAGAGAAAGAGACTTGATGAAACGTGGAATTATAATGCTTTATCATTATCGTAACAAGTATTAATTCAGATCATTTGATGTGATTCATTTACTATTTAAACTTGGATTGATCTGAAGAGGTTAATCATAAAACCCATTTTGTTTCACTGAGGTTTCTTAAATACAGCTAATATTTAAAATACTACTCACTGAATCTTAGAGGCTGATGTCTTGATTTTTATTTGAGAATTTAGCGTTAAGGTAGACAAAAAAATTATTTTCCAAATATGCAACATGGCTAGCTAAAGAGAAAAAGTGGATACTGCCCGTAAATATAAATCAACACAATGACTAGACGGCAGCTAACAATAAGCTCAATTACTTCACGAACTGACGCCACACTTTAGTTTTGCCACACCAAGCTTTCTCTCGATATAATCCCAAACTTGTAAACACTAACCATCGAGATGGACAGCAGTTAGACATACCTAACATACATCCTAAGTACCTCAACCGATAAGGATTTGCAACTCCAACGATAGATCTGCCATCTCTGTCTAGTAACCGATGCTGAACCTCAACAATGCTCACTCAAGTGTTTTACGAGACACCTATTATCAAATACCTACAGCATATATGCATGTCCATTATTCGCAGCCATTACAAATGTCGTGTACGGGAAGGAATCTTTAATTCGACAAACAGAAACATAAATTGCAATGGACCCAGAACAGATGACCGTGAGTCACCATAAGTTAACAGACGAAATGAATCAGAAAAAAAACAAAGGAGTAAAGTTAATAACACCAAGTGAAGGAATAGAGAGTAAGACAATATACATATAATGTACTGACGTCGAAAACTTAACTTCAAATGTTTTGCAACTTACTGTCAGTCGGTACCTTAGCGTATGAAAAACAAGAAGTGAAAAATGTGTAATGTCATGATTGGGATTGAGATGAAAATAGATGGTGAGCACATATGTACTACTACGATTGATTTTCAGCCACACTAACTAGTTTTCAACCGCAAACTATATTTACTGTGTCACACTGAATCTATGGTGGCCAGTCATACCATGTTTTTATGGGAACTAAATAGACATAGCAAACTAGTTTTTTAAAGGCCAAGCCAATAATCAAGCACTTACGACCTACATCATGCACGATATCAGCCCCCAAACAACATTGTGAAGTTTGGATATTCTCGAACAGTAACCTAGGATGTCATAGTGAATAAATTCTGGCAGAATCAAAAGTCAAATATAATTACGTCACCAGGGACGATAATAAAAAAGTGGAAATGAGACGACCCTGGGGAGCAAAACATGAAACAGATGACTGCGACAACCTAGAGTTTGAAGTTAGAATAGGACCATGCGCGACATTACACATAGACTGACTGCAAAGACAAAACCAACCCGAACCTCACGTCTTGAACCAAGAAATGAATTCTAAGACATCATATCTCCAAAAGCTACATTCTAGCACTATATCCCGAACTCTTCGTTTTAGCACTGAAACTTCGGTACTGGTATAATTTGCTCACTACTTCTAAGGAGGTTTTTACTTCATTACACATCAACCCGAAGTTCATAACTCAGTATACTACAAATGAGTCTTAGTCTTTGTTTGCTTTTGCTGATTCCTGATTTATTACATGTTTAGGTCTTAAGAGAGTTCAAAAGCGCAGTCGGGTTTTATCATTTTGTCGTTTCCTGCTTATTCATTACGACACTCACCTATGTGAACCTAGGTAAATCCACGGAACA